TAATTATCCTTCAAGCATCGTAAGTCCTTTGAAGAACATTCCGGCTTCACCATTTCGCTGTGTTCAATCTCTCGACATTTTTCTTAACATTTTCTCCTTGCAAAATTTCAGATTCACAACGAATCAACTTCTACAAATCTCCGCGTAGGAGGTCTTTGATACTCCACAAATCATGCCAACAAGATTCAAGTCAACTGTAAACCATAGTGACTTAGTTAAGTTAAGTTGTTCGTTTCATCAAGCTGCACACAGGTACACAAGGTACGACTTCATTGCCGTGAAACATAGCTTCTTCAGTCAGGTGGTCACAGTAGCGAAAGAGTGAATATCTTGTTAATTAACAAAGGCAACAGGATCCAATGGCGACGTTTCGATCAGCACACCGTACGTACGTCGACGATCCGTCCTGTGTATGCGTACGTATGGCAGAGATTGACAATACAACGTATTATTAAACGGCAGGCGATCTACATGAGCTACGTACTTGTTTGTACTCCGACAGGATAAGTGTGGCGGCGGGCAAGACTGCCGCCCCGTTATACCTCAGTCTCCCGAATGGGTTCCGCTGGCTAACAAACCACAAATCATACCATCAGTCTTAATTTCTAACCTCTCCTTTTCTTAATATCATTGCGTTTGTTTTAGGCGTGTTTTTTTTTTTGGCGTTTGCGTCAATATTGTATCCCTGGATTACACTGGCTGGCTGTATGTGTCTCATTTTCTGTTTCTGTTGTTGTAGTTGTTAGGCTCCTCGTTCTCGTTAGTCAAAGCTGCTTGGGTTACGGAGGGCCTCTTCAATGAATATTTGTTGACTTGTGTCTGTCTGTATATGTACCAAGAGGACTCGAGACGTCGTGCAAGTGGTTAGTGGGCTCAAAAGTCACTTGGTATATTGTTCCCGGGGGGATTAATCGAATGTATACCATTGACTGAACTAGGGCGTTTTATAATTTTTGAACAGTATGCAAAGTGACTTGGTGCTTTGTGCTGACTGAATCGACAAAACTTGGTAAAGCTTATAGAGAACATAATTGCTGCATTCAAGTGTTCCTAATGTGGAGCAGATTTTGATAAGCTACACGAGTCTAATAAGTTGCAACAAATGGCTAGGAAACTGGTCTGTGGTGAAAGACCAACATCCTTGACCATTCTATGCTTTCTTTGGTTCTCAGACTATACTTTGCAAGTCCTTTTCTTCATCCTAAGCAAAGTGTATTACAACACGGTGTACAATAAATGCTCATACGCTAGCAAAACAATTATTAAGTTCCCTATGTAAATCGAGTATTCATATGTATGTATGCATATATGTATGCACGCGCACGCGCGTGTGTGTGTGTGTGTGTCTGTGTGTGTAGTATGATTGCCAGTTCCTTGAAGGTTTCTTTATCAGTGAGAACTTTGATTATATACGGCAGACAGACAGACAAACAAACTTGTGCAACACACGCACATTAAGAGACACACAATGCATTTTGCCACGTATCATCCACATATTGTTAATGGTATATGGTGTGTGTGTGTGCACCATATATGGTGTATGTGTGCGTGAATATGTATATCCGTTTTATCTAGAAACGTATGAATATCTCGCAGGCCGTTGAAAATATGAAAAAACTGTGGTAGTTGGTGGTATAGTTTTTTGAGTATGAAGTAGTAGAGGGCACTTTGATATCAACTTAATTCTTTTTAATGCGCTGCTATACATCTTTATTCATAATATGATAGCGTTTTTGTTAAGACGAGTACAACGGTGTGCCGTATAAGCTCATTCAATGTAGTAGAAAGTCACAGTAGAAGGACAACTTACGATTCGCGTTAATTTGACTCCTTGTGATCTCACTAATTTACGATCTTCTACTACATCGAATGACCTTATATTGCACATCATTGTACTCGTCTTAACAAACGCTATCATATTATAAATAAAGATGTACAATATCCTATTAAAAGAAAATTAATTTGACCTTGAAATCACCCCTATAACGTGATACAAAAAAAAAAGAAAAAAATTATTTACAGTATACAATATCCCGCTCCGCATCAAGCAACTTTCATAATAATAATGTTTTCATACCTTCAATAGTTTACGAGATATTCATGCATTTCCAGATAAAACGGACACACTGTGTGTATACATATCACAGCAAAAACTGGCACACACTGCAACGATTAAAGAACAGAAATAAGAGATGAAAAGGAGCAAAGATCAGCCAAAACGAAATAAATCATAGGGTGTCTATGTAACAACTGGGGCACACGCATGAGTTTCTCCATGGGAAACAACACACAGGATGCAAGAGAGTGTTGTTCGTTGTTGGTGTGGTTGTTAATATGTTAGAGACACTGCCTGTATATTATCTCTCATGAGAGGTTCCTGGCGCAATGTTCTGCATGCATTTTCACACAAATAGCACACGTACAAGGTACTCTGGGTATACTGCATATTTTGCTGGTGCACCTCTTGCAAATTGATGTCTGAGTATTCTTTTTATATATATATTTTATATATATAATTATATAGTAAAGTTTCTATTAGAGAAAGTGCCTGTGATATTTCAGAATCATTGTAACTGCTTCATTTATGAGTCTGTTTTGTCTTGGACATGATGATGTTACTCATAGACACATATGTATATAGACAGGATGATAGTGATGATATAATGGCAATGATGAGGTAAGCATTTGGAAAAGGAGTTACTTTTCAGCAAGATATAATTGATGTGGCAACTGAATGATGGAGGTAGTACACTTGTGCAGGTGGTGCTGCGCTCGGAATTAATTTAACAAAACGAGCTTCTTGTTAACAATACCTTCTTCTTTGTTTGTCTGAGAGACTAAAAAGAATATTCTGGAAGTGAGCAGAGTAAAAGGTGAGATCTGAAGAATGTTTTTCTTGACACATTGACCATAGATAGTTGACTGGAAAGTACATACTTGAAGCATGACAAAATATATAATATAGAATGTCTATTTCCATAGCAGAAGATCATTAAAGAAAAGAGAAAAAGAAAAAAAATGAAAAAACATTTACCTTCACGATATCAAATTGTTTGCACATTAAAAGATACATATCTATGTAATGCTAAAAAAAACTTTTCGTTGTATACCTCTGTCCAATAAAAAATTTAAAACGAAAAAAAAAGATACTTTATAAAAGCAGACAGCAAAAAACATGTACAAATTCATTCTCAAATTAGCTCAGAAAACTCTTGTACCACAAAGAATTACTGAACTGCTTGATATAACACACCATATATATGTATATATATATCAACTGAACAATCCCTGCAAAATTGTCAAAAAAAAAAAAAAAGAATTCGAAAAAAAGAAAAGAAAAAGAACGATGAAATATTTGTTATGTTCCCTAAAAGTGAAGAAAATCCTCTCTGATGATTCTGTTAACGAATGTGGAACAAAAAGAAACACTGTTTGAAACTGATACACAGTGTCTTTTTATAAATGAAATGAAGAAAAGAATTGCAAAAGCGTACCTTGCCGCGCGTGTATGTGTGTTCCGCACACATATATACGCATACACATACATATACGCGTACACATACGCGCATGCATTTCACATACACGTGTGTATATATACATATATCTACGTATATACACGTATATACGGGCAACTCATATACGTACATACATACGCACAGACGTGCATGCAACACCTTAGAGTCAATGGAAAAAAATAAAATGAAAACTAAAAGAGAAAAAAGGAAAGGAAGAAAAGAAAACGGAGATTGGAAATTGGAGGGAATCTTGTTTGTTGTGTTAAGTTTGAGGACCTTACTGGTTTTAGCTTTTCATAAGTAAAACTTAATGATGAATTTTTATGATGTAAAGTTCCATACTTGAAGAGAAGAAAGGGAGGATGCACTGTCTTTTTTTACTCTGACTGGCTACCAAAGGAAAATTATGGTAATTATAAAAGTGTACCTTTATACTGTATTGCACATAGCAAGTGAAATCTTAAAGTAAAAACCTTATCTTACGATAAATATATAAGATACTTGTTTCCAGCTGCATAAAGTGACAAATCAATCATGAACCAGCAGGAGGGTTATAGGAGTGTGAACCTTGACAGTGTTAAACTTGATATCATCTTGATATCTTTGGAAGGTACAGGATACAGGAATTCTCTTCTCTTCAAGCAGTGCGTGATGATGAGTTTGGCTGAAACAAAATGGCTGACTGTGAATATAAGATAACAGAAGTAGAGAATAGGATCAGAAGCGCAAAACAAGGTGTATGAAAAATATCCAACGGATAGTAGTATGTTTCTTCGCTGTTTCGGATTATAGGAAAACAATACAGAAACAGAGCACGAGTTTGAAAGAAGCGAGTACAAGCTTGCAACTCGCAAGCAGAAGAGATACACGTTGGAGAAGGCAGACAATCAGAAGAGATCAAACTTAAACGAAAGCGAAATGGAGAGAAAAAGAAAAGAAGCAGAATATGTTAAAACGTAAAGGTTTCCAAGTTCATCAATTAGTGAAATCAAAGTGAGCATTGAATCAATGTTAACAGAAAAAGAAAGTAGTAATTGTTAAGTGATATAGAGTAAAGTGACAGAGAGACGGATAAGAGAGAGAAATCATCAAGTACAGTGCTGTCGCGTTAGCTGGCCGCAGTTCGAGACCAAATCTGGCCAGCAATCAAGGGAGGTTTCTTCTTCGTTGAGTGCGAGTGAAATACAGATACCCGATACGAAATATCGAGATCCTTGTTTAATTTAGATACGTAATCGCCGGAGGCTCGTTCCACGGAGCAAGAAGTTACAAGAACTGGTGGGTATAACGACAGCCAGCTAACGCGATTGCACTGTACATCAAACAGAAAGCACCAGGAAAACGGAGTTGAAACTCAGTAGACAAACTGGTTAATGAGAAAAACAAAACCATAAAAAAGAAACAAATTAAAATGATAAAGTCAATAATAAAGAATTAATATTTAAGAACGGTCAAACAGTGCGGAGATTGGACTTGCGGACTAACCATATAGTAATCCTGAGAGGGGGATCTGCCTGTCACAGATACATTCTGCACCAGAGTTCTATTGCTCGTCTGAAAGTAGGTTACACATTCAATTTACACAATTAGCTTAACCGAGTACTTGTTGATTTTGTTTGTTTGTTTTTGCTATATAGCTCACAAAAAGAAAAAAAAAAATTGTGACACTTAACTAAGACGCAATTATATTCTGTGTTTTGGTGTGTTTTTATCATTCACTGTGGTATTTTACTTGTCATCGTGCTAGGTCAAGAGTATAAAAGTGTTACCAGAATAAGAAGAAAGGAAATAAGAGAGAAAGCGAAGTATAAGTCAACAGAATAAAGAAAGTGGAGAATCATCTCGGTCGGTTTTATTCCTTTTTTTTGTTTTGTTTTGTTCTTTGGACCATATGACTATTATTATCATAGTCAAACAGACATTCCTACGTTTAATTTGTACTTGAAAAATTGAAGGGTGGTAGTTGTTGCATGTCCACGTGATATTTTCAATAATTCAATAGAAGCAGCATCATCACGGTGTAAAAATATCAGCAATTTACACCGTAATGAACCGCGGTTTTGGTCAAGTATGCGCTAGCTTCATCAGGTTTAACCCGTTCCCATTGAGAGAAACAAAAGAATGAAAATAAAACGAACAGAAAAATACGAGAGGTGTCGTCTACGAGGAAGGGCTGCTTTGTTTGTCCTTTCCGACTCTCGCTCGAGCATTGAATCCTGAATAAAAAACCATTCTTACTCTAATTATTCATAGATCTATTCTCCTACAATATTAGGTCAATAAAAAAATCTAGATCAAGAGAAAAATTAGTCCTCGTACTGTCTTGGTTAAGTCGGTTTTCGCTTCAGAGAACCTTACATACTATAATTATCCAGAAACTGCCACGTATAGAAGCAGGCTTAACATTCTTCATACTGTTGTATTATTCCATTTGAATCACTTAGAACATTTAAAAAAGAACTGAGCCGCCAGTTCTGTGGTCATTAGTGCCCCAAGGAACATAATGTCTTGTCCATGAAAAGAAAACAACTGCAGGTGAGCTCTGGGACAGAGAGAGACGGATTGAGGACAGTAAACTTGCTACTAAATGATCAGAATTCCGTGCCTCTACGTCGAGCAAACCGACGACTAGCCGTCTAAAACGCCTACGTGCTTGGGTTCTATGGGGTCCCAAACGATCAGGCAACGATCATCGAAGCTGACGATAAGCTGGAGAGGTCTACCATAGCTGTCTCTACTGCCTAGAGTATTGGTGTGAACCTTTGCCCATCCTGGACACCATTTGTCCACTTTAATTGAACTTCATCTAATTTCTTCGCTTAACATGGACTGATGGAGGCAGTGGAGATCAATTGGAGAATCCAGAGATTGGTACAATTGTTTGAAAGGATGGGCAAAGATCAGTTGTTCTGATCCAACACTTAAATCAATTGAATTGCCAACTTTCCCAAATCTCAATTAACCTCTTCGACTCAATTTGTACAATGTGAGACAACACTGTTTCATTGAAACTTCACAGTTATGCATATCAAGAGAAGAAAATTAAGTTAAAGAGGTTCAGAGAGAGAGAGATGATCTTAACACTCGTGACTCGTAATACTCTGATCTTTGGACTTCTTTTCGAGGCTTTCGCTTGAGAAAGAGTTCACCAATTTATTAAATGGCAATGAGTGTGTTAACCCTTTATAAGTGTACGATTTAGGTTCACAGAATCTGTCTGAAAAGAAATACAGAGGTAAAGGTTAAATCTCAATTTTCCATATCTTCGGACTTATATCTTCCCTTATAAAGGGTTAAAAGAGCCAACAGTGGCAGCTGAAAGACAATAAAGAGCTCTGAGAAGGCCCCAGTCATTATATTCAGTCGCTGAAACGATCGTTTCACCAGAGGTAACAACCTGAGGACGAATAAGTAGGTTCAGAACGAACGTACATGGCTCTCCAGCTGTACAAAAAGGGGTTTTCACGGTTCGCTTGATCGTTGAGCTTTCTTTCTTTCTGTGGTTGAACGCAGGACGTGTCTAAAGAACGGCCAAGAGGGTAACGAAAAACAAACGCATGTGGTACGCATCGTCGAGGTAACACGGCAAAGAACTCAAATGAAAGTGCAAACCAAGGTGTAAACAACGGTCTTGTAAACGTAAAAAAGAACCAAAATGAGAGAAACTAAAGAACGTATATACGTATACATATATATATATGGAACAGAGTATATAAACGTACGTTGTATATACTTTTTCTGACTGATTGTACGTATGCACAGACCCATGCCCACTGCTAAATGAATATTTCTTCATGATTGATATTTTAGGAACCATAACGTCGAGTCAAGAGAACTTGGTACCCAGTGAACTTGTGTATCTCATTTGCTTCAAAACAACAATTTGCTTCTGTTCAAAAGATTCTAAGTAGGACCTCTTCTAAAAAAAACAGTACGTCGAGACTTACACACGTACAATAACCCTGAAGAACCATTCACAAGACGCAGTGGCTAACCTGTGCACACGTTTATGGTTTAAAAAAAAGAAAAAAAAAAAAAAAGAGAACAACTTATCGTTGCGAAATATATGAGATATGGTCGTAAAGTATCGATGGTAACAAAGTTGTTGTATAAACAAGACGTGGTTGAACAACACGAGCGCTGAAAAATGCTTGGAAAAAATTCTCTAATGCTTTTTTTTTTCTATTTTTGTCCCGGGGACAGGGAGAGGGGGGCGGGGAACCCGAGTTACGAACACGCTGACTTTGAGTGATGGGCATCATGAGAGTGAGAGATAGGGATAGTTACCTGTGTCTGTAGTCGTGTTAGACCACGGATCCATAGAATTTGTCCTGAGCGCGGCATTTTATCCGAGTCAGGGTCGAATTTCTCATCTCCGAGATTGATCGCACCGATATCATCCGGCTGGCCGCGGCCCCATCTGTTTTTAAAAAACATGAAACCAATTCTTCATCACTCGATCCCTGTTACACACATGGTCT